TCTGGAGCCCAGGCCATCTGTTGGAATTGAAGATCTGCCTTCACTTCCATAGACCTGGGACACAGGCCTGTACCATGACGGCCATTTTTAGGCAGTAATGGAGATAACTGAGGCCTCCAGTATGCTAGGCAAATCTTCTACCATTTGAGCTCAGCACCTATCCCCAGGAATGTTTTTTGTTTTGTTTTTTGTTTTTCAAATTCTTTATTGTGATTAAGTGATTACATAATTTCCCAAATTTCACAGTATTGTGGGATAGTGATGCTTAGTTAAAGTCACAAACACATTCTAACTTTCATGGGGCAAATTATCTATCATGGTCTATAACATTTATGAGTTCTATGAGCTTTGCAATAAAGTTATTTCTTCCACATTGGGTGATGCGTTCATTTCTATTGCTTTGCATAACATCATCTGTTCCCTCTTTCCCACTTGTTCCCTCCCTCCCATCGCTGTCATTGAGTTGTTTAGTTCACTTTGATCAATGTCCAATGTAGCTGATGGGTCCTGCTGTTGTATGTTTTTTCCTGCTTCCCTCTAGTTCTGTGTTGTCCTCCTGATTTCTCTCAGGTGTGCACATATATACCATATATGTGATCAGCAGTATGGGGTTATTTAGATGAGAGGAAGTCCTTTGTTTCTTAAGTCTTGTTAATTTTGTCATTATTACCTTACATTTTGGAATTAAATCCATTTATCAGGGAGACCATATTTTTAAGACAGTGATCCTTTCCACTGGTTTTCATTGCAGCTGTAATTGTGCAGAGGGTTTTATCTCCTGTTTCTGTTGTGGTAATTGATACTCTTTTCTTCATACTGTGTGTGTCTTCTGAGCTATGCAATTTACCTGTGTGTTCACTTCAATGTTTTATGACTAATGTGTGTACTTTCTTGTTTCTAATTATGTATCATTCATGTGTGACTCACCCTTGTGTATATATGTACATTCTGCATCTAGGTACTTCTTATTGACGTTTGTTTTGTTTTTATTTTCTGAGCTAAGCTGTCTTTCCCTGCCATAGTCAGAGCAGAAAACCTCCAGCCTGTTGCCACTGCCTCCCAGGACTTGGCTCCCACCTAGTGGCCACTACTGTGGACTCACGGAAGATGCTTGTGGTGAGTCCTCAATTCTCATTTGGGGTCTGTGGTGGTATTTAAAAACCAGTTTGGTCTTTACTTGACTGATAATGCATTTTTCTCCACTAATTAAGATTTTTGATTTCTTCTTATATATAAAGCTATGTAACAACCTACCATGTATGTATATATGTCTGGATCAGTGTCTGTTTCAATGGATATTTTGGTACTTATTTGTCCCTGGAAGCCTTGAGGCATTCTTCCACCCTATCTTTTGTCTAGTTGTTTGATTGATAATCTCTTTTTTTGTCGTTCGTAGGACTTGAACTCTATGATCTTCAGCTCAAGGCGAGCATTCTACTGCTTGAGCCACAGCACCACTTCCTGCTAGTGTCTTGTGTAGTTTTATCTCCACATTGCATCCATCTACACATCTTACCATCTTCAGTAACTGTTTCAATATTTTTTTCTTGGAATTGCTTCATTCACATCATTACTAAGTGTCTTATATTACTGATTTTTTGATTGCATGTAAGAATGATTGGAGAATTTTTTTTTGTGAGACAGCATATTTCCATTTCAGCCTGGTATGTCCTGAACTCTGCAGCCTCCATACCTGCCTCCCATTACCTGGATCACACATGAGGGCCTCTGTTTCTCACCCAATGAAGAGGATTTCAGTAAACCATTTCCTTTTTCTTTTTTAGTCTTCTCTGTGATCTCCACCTGATGATTATCTTTGCTTTCAGAACTCAGTCAACCTGTCGTTACTGGATAAACACATGTAATTTTATTGAAGTATGTATGCATGCATATATTGTTTGATCGGTAGTTGTTTTCTGCTAATGGTACTCCACTTATGCCCAAGAAGACAGGAAGCAGCTTTGCAGTGTTTCTTTTTGTTAATGTTGGATTAGTGGTATCCAGTGTGTTTTTGTGTCTAGACACATTCCAGGATCATATGCTCCTCAACATGGGGCATTAACTGGAGTTCCACTCATTGACACACTTACATACTTCATGCTTGTTGAAATATATATTTCAGTATTTATATTTTATTTGGTTTTGTGAGTCTGGCTGTTATGTAAAGGACAGCCATTTCCTGACCTCTGCAAATCCCAACAACTCCCACTTTTCAGTATCTGGATCACACATATGGACTCGCCTTTCTCTCTCACATTTTTTTAAAATTTTGTGCTATGCTTTTGTTTCTTCTTTCAATTTGGATGTGATCTCTAAGGCAGAACTTGTGGTTAGTATCTCAGTCAGTTTGCAAACCTAGACTTGAATCATGCTTGCAGCCTGGCTATTTTCAGTAAATACACTCCAAGAGGGAACCTGCTACCTGCTGGAGTTTTCTGTCCCAGTTGATCATGCAGGATCCTCTCTTCTCTGTAAAAGTATAGTTTTTATTAGGCTAAATTTTCATGTTTCTGCTTTCATGATTTATATCCTTTTCTTCATACTGTACATGTCTTTTGAGCTATTGGATTTACCTGTGTGTTCAGCTGAAATCTTAATGATTCATTTGTGTATTTCTTGATTTATATGTATGTATCATCCAGATACCTGGTCTCTGCATACGTATGTACATGTGTTTGTGTACTCATTGTTTATTGATGGACATGTTGTTTATTGTGATACCTCATCCAGGTGTGTCCTGAAGTATCCATTGTCCCCACCTTCCCCCAATTACCTGGATCACACATGTGGACCTCTGTTCTTCACCCAATGAAGATTTAGATAAACCATTTCGTTTTTCCTTTTTGGTCTTCTCTGTGATCTCCACCTGATGATTTCCTTTGCTTTGGGTACTCACTCATCCTGTGGTTTCTGGATAAACATATGCACTTTTATTGATGTGTGTATGCATGCCTGTATCTTTCAATCAGTATTTGTTTCCTGAATATGGTACTCTACATAAGGCCTAGGAAGACTTGAAGCATCTTTTCAGCATGTCTTTTTGTTATTGTTAGATTAGTTAGTTGTCCAGTGTGTTTTTGTGCCCAGACACACTTCTGGATCATATGCTCCTCAACCTGGGGCATTAACATGAGTTCTAATCATTGACACATTACATACTTCATACTTGTTGTAATATATGTTTCAATACTTGTATGCTTACTTTTCTGTGAGTCTTGCTGTCATATAGAGGACAGACATGTCCTGACATTTGCCGCCACACACATCTACCATTTTTCATTATCTGAATCACACATATAGATGCCCCTTTCTGATACACAGTGGTTGTTTATAGGTTGTGCTTTTTGTTTACTATCTCAACTTGGATGTGATCTCTGAGGCAGAGATCACAGTCAGTTTGCACACCTAGACTTAAACCATTGTTACAGCCTGGCTTTTCATTATATATACTCCTAGAGGGAATTTCCTGGAGTTTCCTGCCCAGGGTGATTGTTCAGGCTTCTCTCTTCTGTGTAGAAGTATCCTAGCTTGGTCTAAAGTTTCATGTTTGTGCTGTAGTGATTTATATACTTTTCTTCATACTGTTTGTGTCTTTTGAGCGGTGGGATTTCCCTGTGTGTTCAATTTCATTTGTAGTGATTCATATATGTCTTTCTTCCTAAGTGGTCCAGTGCATTTTTGTGTCTAGACACATTCATGTATCATATACTTCTTAGCCTGGGTGTTTTTAAGGTTTGCTTAGTAGTATCCATTGTGTGTTTCGTACCCAGGCATATTCACACATACTACCTCTTCCAAATTTGGCATTAACATGAGTTTTATACATTGACACCCTTACATACATCATACATATTTAAAATGTTTTTCATCATTTACCAGTTTTTTATTGTGTTTTTGAGTCTGCCTTTTATACAGAAGGTCAGACATGTCCTGCTCTCTTTAGCCTCCTAGATCTACCACCTTTCAGTATCAGGGTCACACATATGGAACCCACTTCTTTCTCACAGTTGTATTTTTAGGGTTTTTTTATCTTTTTCTTATCTCAACATGGATGTGATCTCTGAGGCAGAACTGTGCTTGCTATCTGAGTTTGCACACCTAGACTTGAACCACCAGCACAACTATGTTCATTGAAGCATTATTTACCATAGCTAAGATATGGAACCAACCCAGATACCTATCAATAGATGAATGGATCAAGAAAACCTGGTATAAATACACAATGAAATAATGACATCTCTGCTTTTGTAAGGAAATGGAAAGATGTGGAAAATTCTTATTAAGTGAAGTAAGCCAGACCCAAAGAAACATAGCCTTTATGGTTTCCTCATTTGTAATAATTAGAATATGCCTAGGATAGTCCTGGCAGAGAATCATAAGAGCTCAATAGCTATGTACATATGAACATGCAAAATGATGCTAATTGAAATGAATGACAAGACATGCAAACAATAGGTCTTTATTTTTGGTTGTTGACTTTATTGTCTCTGATGTATTGTATCTAGTTCTTTCTTCTTATTTTATTTTTCTAGCACTCACTATCTTTGAGTCTGGTACCCTCTGCCTTATATATACATGTATCTGATTTGGGAAAGGAAAGGGAATAAAAATGCTGAAACAAGGACAAAAAGTGGTGCTGTGGCTCAAGTGCTAGAGAGTTCACCTTGAGCTGAAAAGCTCAAGGATAGGGCCCGGGCCCAGAGTTCAAGCCCCAAGACCAACAAAAAGTAAAATAAAAAATAAAATGCCTGGTTAAATTGCTACTCATTTGAAACAAGGACAAAGGATGGCCTATTTCAACAATGATTCTCACAAGAAACTGTCAGAAATGAAATTTACAACTTTGCTGGGAAGGGGGGGAAGAATGGTGGAGGGAGGACTTCAAGGGAAAACAAAAAGAATGAGTAACATTGTTCAACAAGAAATGTACTCATTACCTTACTCATGTAACTGTAACCCCTCTGTACAGCATCTTTACAATATTTTTTTAATTAAAGAAAATGTTCGCTTTGGCAGCATATATACTCAAATTGGAATAATACAGAGAAGATTAGAATGGCCCCTGCCCAAGGATTACATGCAAATTCGTGAAGCGTTCCATATTTTTGAAACTTCTCTGAAGAGGAAATAAGAATGGCCAATAGACACAAGAAGAAGTGCTCAACTTCTCTAGCCATAAAAGAAATGCAAATCACAACAACATTGAGATTCAACCTCACCCTAGCTGCAATGGCTTTAATCAAGAAATCTAATAACAACAGATCCTGGAGGGGATGAGGCCAAAAAGGAATCCTACTGCATTGTTGGTGAGAATGTAAACTTGTTCAACCAATTTGGACAGCAGTATGGAGATTCCTCAAAAGCCTCCACATAGAGCTCCTCTGCGAACTAGCAATCCCACTTTTGGGCATTCACCCAAACGATCATAAACAAGTGTATACTAAAGCTACCAGTACAGCCATCCATGTTTATTGCAACATTATTTATTATTTACAATAGCTAAGATATGGAACCAACCCAGACGCCCATCAGTAGATGAATGGGTCAAGAAAATGTGATATATATATATATATATATATATATATATAAAATGAAATTCTATGCCTCCATCAGAAACAATGGTATTATCCATTTGTTAGGAAATGAAAAGTCTTGGAAAAAATGCATTAAGTGAAGTAAGGCATGCCCAAAGAAACATAGGTCATATGGTTTTCATATTTGTAATAACTAGGACACGTGTAGGACAAGCAGAAAAGGTCAAAAGCTATGTACCTATGGCCATATAAGAGGAGGTTAAGTGAAATGAACCCCAGGACAGGGTCATAAGAGATTTTTTTTCTTGCTATTGTTTTTAACATACCTATCATGTACTATGTGATAATTTTGTTTCTTTTGTATTTTCTTGTCCCATGGTATAACCCCTGTTTCACTGTATTTGATGTCGGTGCCCATACACTTTTCTAATTTGGGAATGGGTAAGGACAAAACAAAATGTTTAAATAGGGATACAAGTTCACCCCTTGTAACAATGAGATGTACAAGACACAATGTTGACAATGAACTTTACAACTTGTGTGGGGGAGGTAGGGAGGAGTTGGAGAGGTGGGGAGGGAAGGGATGATAGGGGAAAAACAAAGGAGAAGGTAACAATGCTTAATAGGAAATGTACTCATTACCTAACTCATGTAACTGTAACCCCTCTGTACAATATTTTTATATTAAAAAACGTATTTAAAAACATTTAAAAAACACTCCTAGTGGAATCGACTGGAGTTTTCTGGCCAGTTGATTTTGCAGTGTTATCTCTTCTGAGTAGAAGGATCCTAGATTGGCCAAGTTTCCTGTTCTACTGTGGTAATTTATATTGTTTTCTTTTGAACCCTAGGATTCACCTGTGTGTTCACTTCTATTTTTCGTGATTTATTTTTGTATGTCTTAGTTTCTATGTTTGTATCATGCACCTGACTCAACCCTGCATATGTATGTATATGTGTTTCTGTATTCACATATATCTTATTGACATGTTTGTTCTGTCTATTTTTTCTGAGCCAAAGTGTCCCTTCCTACCACAATCAGAGCAGGAAACCTCCAGCCTGATACCACTGCCTCCCAGGACCTGGATGCCACCACTGGGGACTTACAGAAGTGGCTTGTGGTGAGTCCTCAATTCTCATTTGGTGTCCTCACTGAGATTTGAACTCCAGGATATTATTAACCTTATTGACAAATAGGTTTCTTTAGTAATTATTTTTGGTTTATGCTTATATATCTAGCTATGTACCAACCATTTTAAGTTAGTATTTCTGTCTGGTTCAATATTTGCTTCAAAGAACATCTTAGTTAATAATACGTCCCTGGAAGTCTTGAGGCGTCATCCCAGCATGCCTTTTTCTAGCTGTGTGATTGTTGGTGTCTAGTAAGTTTTTGTCCCCAGATTGCTTCCACTCATCTCCCCATCCTTAGTCACTGAATTTCAATATTATTACTTGGAATCGTTCCATTTGTCTCCTTTCCTAGAGTTTTATATGACTGATTGAATGACTGATGGACATGTTGCTTGTTTTGTGAGATAATATATTGCCCCCTCAGCCAGGAGTATCCTGAAGGGTCCAGCATCCACACCTGCCTAGCATTACCTGGATCACACATGTGAGCCTCTTTCTTTACCCATTAAAGAAGATTTCCATAAAACCTTTTTATTCTTCCTTTTGTTCTTCACTTGAATCTCCACTAGATGATTTCCTTTGTTTTGGGTGCTCACTCATACTCTGTTTTCTGGATAAAGATATGAACTTTTATTGATGTATATATGAATGCATGTATCCGGCGACTGGTACTTTTTTCTTAATACGCTACACCATAAATGTCCCAGGAACACTTGAATCATCATTTCAGCCTGACTTTTTAATAGTGTTCAACTAGTTGGCCATATTTAAGGATCATACACTCTTCTGTACAGGTCATCAAGATGAGTTATACTCATTGACACATGCATATATTCCCTGATTGTTTAAATATGAATTTAATTGTTTTTCCCTTTGTGGGTCTTCCTGTTATACAGAAGGAAAGACATGTCCTGACCCCCACAGCCTCCCACATCTACAACCTTTCAGTATCTCAATCTCATATATGGACCCCTTCTTTCTGTCTCACTGTTGTCTTGTTTTCCTCAAAGATTTCTTTATTGAGCCGGGCGTTGGTGGCTCACTCCTGTAATCCTAGCTACCCAGGAGGCTGAGATCTGAGGATCGCGGTTCAAAGCCAACCCAGGTAAGAAAGTCTGTGAGACTCTAATCTGCAATAAGCCACTAGAAAACCAGAAGTGGAGCACTGGCCTTTAGATGCAAAGCGAAGGAACAGAGCCCAAGCCCAGAGTTCAAGTCCCACGACCAACAACAAAAAAAAAATTCTTTATTGAGACTAAGCAATGACACAAATTGCACAGTATTGTGGAGTAGTCATATTTTGCAAATTTCACAAACACATTTTAGCTTTAACAATGATAAGCTTATGAACTCTACAAAAATTAACAATAAAACTATTTCTACCAGAGTGGGTGATATGTACATTTCTTTCCTTTTCCATAGTGTCAGCTGTTCCCTCTCTCTCATTCTCTCCTTCCCATCACCACCTTTGAGTTGCTTAGTTCACTCTCATCAATGTCTCGTTCAGCTGAGACCCACTTTGCTGTATTTTTTCATCTGCTTTCCACTGATTCTGTGCACGTGTGTACACCATATATGAGGTAAAGAATATAAAGTCATCAAAAACAGTAAGACAAATTAAGAAGAGGTCATTTGTTTCCTTGTCTTTGGGGTTCTTTTAGTCTGTATGTTATTTTATGCACATATGAAGAGGTATTTGGGTGTTAAAATTTGGTGTTTTTTTCTCCCAAGGCTGACCTCGTTGGGATTCATAGTGTATGGGTATCTTGAGTCATGTTTACTTTGTCATAACTTATTGCATTTTGAACCTAACATCCACATATCAGGGAAACCATGTGCCATTTGTCTCTCTGATCTTGGCTTTTTTCACTCAACATGATTTGTTCTAGTTCCATCCATTTCCCTGAAAATGCCATTGTTTTTTCCTTTCTAATGGCTGTGTAAAATTCCATTGTATATAGGTACCACAATCTGGGTTGTTTCCATATCTTGGCTTTTGTAAACAGTGCAGCAATAAACATGGAGGTGCATATGTCCTTGTCATATCCTAGTTTCATTGGCTTAGGGTACATGCCTAGAACTGCTATGGCTGGGTCATAGGGAATGTCTATGTTTAGCTTTCTGGAGAACCCAAGACTGCTTTCCAGAGTGGTTGTATGAGTGTACATTCCCACCAGCAGTGCAGTAGGGTTTGTTCCTCTTTCTCCGCATCCCCACCAGCATTTGTCTTTATAGACCATTCTGACTGGGGTAAGGTAGTGTCTCATTGTTGTTTTTATTTGCATTTCCTTTACAGCCAAGGATGACGAACATTTCCTCATGTGTTTTTTTTGACATTTTTACCTCTTCTTCTGAGAAGTCTCTCTTGAACTGCCTTGACCATTTAGTGTTTGGTTTGTTAGATTTGGAAGGGATTAGTTCCTTGAGCTCCCTGTGTATAATGGATATTAGGACTTTGTCTGATGAATGTCTAGTCAATGCTTTTTCCTGATTGGTTGGCTGTCTTTCTAGTTTGGTAGCTATGTCTTTAGCTCTGCAGAAACTTTTAATTTTAAGGTAGTCCCATTTGTCAAGTCTCTCTCCAATATGTTGAGTCCCTGGGACTCTGTTCAAGAAGTTTCTGCCTGTGCCTGTAAGTTCTAGTGTCTCTCCTACTCTGTTTGGCAGTAGTTTCAGAGTTTCAGGTTTGATGTTAAGGTCTTTAATCCATTTTGAGTTGATGTTAGTGCATGGTTACAGGCTATGATCCACTTTTAGTTTTCTGCATGTGGCTGCCCAGTTTTCCCAGCACAAATAGTTGAAGACACTATGTGGTTTTTTTCCCCCACTGTGTATCTTTGGTGGTTTATGTAATATCAACTGACTGTAAGTATGTGGTTTTATTTCTGGGTCTTCCAATCTATTCCACTGGTCTTTGGGTCTATTTTTGTGTCAATACCAAGCTATTTCTTTTATTATGATTCTACATTGAGCTTGGAATCTGGTATTGTGAAACCACCTACATTGTTTCTTTTGCTTAGAATTGCTTTGGGTATTCTAGGTCTTTTGTTGTTGACATGAATTTTTTTTATTGTTTTTGCTATTTCAGTAAAGAATATCATTGGGATTTTGATGGGGATTGCATTGAATTTGTATATCATTTTTGGCAGTAGGGCAATTTTCAAAATATTGTTTCTACCTATCCATGAACATGAAAGGCCTTTCCACTTCCTGGTGTCCCCTTTCATTTCCCTCTTTAGATTTTTATAGTTTAATCTAATAGATCCTTTACATCTGTGGTTAGGTTATATCCTAGATATTTTATTCTTTTATAGTTTAATCTAATAGATCCTTTACATCTGTGGTTAGGTTATATCCTAGATATTTTATTCTTTTTGAGGCTATTGCAAATGCGCTTGTTTTTCTGATTTCCCTTTCTGCTTGTTTTTTTGTTGGTGTACAG